AAATTAATTTATAAAAGGTATTTTGCAATAACATGACTTGTGCACTTAAAAAAAACTATTAATTCATACAACCATTTTTGCATAAAGAACAGCACTTTATTATACAAGTGTGACGCTATATAAACTTAATTCCTTCATGTAATAAAGCAAATGAGGTGATGTGTATTTGTGTGAGTGGAGGTGTGGCCTAAGAAGTCAGTTTTATATTTTGTTTTTTGGCCCATTTTACCTGAGGAGTAGATGCCTAATAATAATGATCACCTTGATAAAAAGGGTTTGATCTTCGGTCCTAAACCCACTTATACAAACACACATCACCTGATATGCTTAAATCCAACAAGCATTGTAGTTAATAAAGCTTAGAGTTGGAAAATACACCTAAAAATATTAAATGGTCATCCCACTTAAACTAATGCACACCCTTAAACCGGTGTTTGTTACTGAAAAGACAAACTTGCGTCCTCATCTAGGCTTTTTTTTTGTTACAGTTTCAACAGTTTTGATTTTTTTAGGCAGGAGAAAGCAACATTAGGAGAGGATTTTCAAATTATTCAATTCTCAAAACACATCAGCCTTATTTGAAGCACATGGGCTCTAGTCTTTTCCATTTTGAGAAGCGGTTAATAGTAAGGGGCCTCTGTGACATGTCATTTAATGTTTTAGATTAAATCAAGTAATGGATGACAAATTAGATGTTTTCTTTAAACTCTAATCAACCTTATAAAGTGTAAATTACAAAAATTAATTACTTATGCATATTTTATAGTAAATGCTAAGGGTGCCAATAATAAAATAAACCAGGCATTATGGCAAAAACAACAGTTTTTTAAATATCTCCCCTCTATGAACAGATGTAGTCATATTAAATTTAGGAATGTGAGATTAAGATACTGCAAAAATAAAGAAATACATAAATTCATTTAAAGCATTTTTAACATTTTACTAAGGGTACTGAAAAGTGTGGATAACACTGTACGTATCATTGATGGTGCAATAAAGAATATTTTTAATGCTACTAATCTTTCACATCACTGTCACTTTTACACTTCTATTTGTCAACACATTCTTGTTTTCTCTAGATTTGATGTGATTTAAGTATCTTTTATTTTTTACCACACTACCTTTGGGCGTATATAAATTTGTAATTACTTAAATTTAGTTAAGGGGTGCTTTTATTCTGTTAAAAGACACATGTACAGTATTACCTTGAACAATGAAGGCCTGTGTTATAAGTTGTCTTGCTGCTTCCTTTCTCACTGTTTTTATAGGTAAAGCTGTGGCTCTCTCTGTGGTTCTCTAGGAGACAGCTTCTCCCTCTTGGGGCAGGTTTAGGCTGTGACCTTATCGGGGTGCAGCATATTTAATAACATGAAGGTACATTTATAACATAAATGCTGGTATCTTTCTACTAACGGTGCCACCTTCTACTCTCTGTGTAGTTCTACCATGGATAATGTAAAAATAACTGTAATCAGAGGTCAGTAGAGTAGCCAAAAGTTGTACTCAAGAGAAGCGCTACTTCAGTGTATTTTTACTCAAGCAACAATAAAAACATTAAGGGTAAAAATGCTATTCAAGTAACGAGTAACTGTGAATATAACATCTGATTTAGTTTGTAAAAAATTATGTAATCTTAAAATTTTAGGCTATGTGCAAATTCTGGAATTTAAAGAATAAAATAGTCAAATTTAAGAACAAAGTAACAAATTCAGGCTGAGGAAAGAAACATTTCCAAATTACACTTTTCCAAAACATAAAACTGTTGAACCCAGTACTTACAGTAAGTAATGGATACATGTTAAAACAGTGCAATGTATTTGCAGTGACAATATCTAGTGTTTACTGTATTTTCACCTGACCTCCAAATGACCCAGCAGGCTCAGCAAATAGAAAATAACATAAGAACAAGCAGCTAGTTTACACAAAGTTTACATTTGTGTCAGGGTCTGATAAATGTTTGGTTAAAACATGTTTGTTCTTTCTTAGGTGAAGTAGGTGGGTGCAGTAGCCAGACATTGTACCCAAGTAATAGTAGCGTTGCTCCAAAATAATATTACTCAAGTAGAAGTAAAACATACAGTGCAGTAAAACTACTCCTAAAACTAATTTTTTTTCCAAAAAGCTACTCAAAAAAATCTAACTGAGTAAATGCAACTAGTTAATACCCACCTCTGACTATAATAAAATAGTAGTTTGTACGATATCAAGTACCACACAGGAAACCACCACCACGTTTTAAAATGACTTGTTTAAAAAGCAATTTAAAAATGTGCTTTTCTAAAATTATAATTTATTTGCTGGACAAAATGAAGCGTGCTTAATACGTGTTCAGAAAACAGAGCAATGGCTTGTTTGAAGCAGCCATAATTATCAGGCTTCCACATTGATTATTATCATTCTGTGCAGTGACGTCTTCAGCTCTGATCTTTTTGTTTTTCAACTAAAGCCTGTTCACACCTAATGCAGAAAATCCATCAGGTCCATGCTACAGTTTCCAAAGCTGTCTTTTATTTCTACCTTCAAAAGATGAATTTCATGCTTCTCTCTGCTTAATGATGTGCCCCTTCCTGTTATTTAAGCACCTTGTGGGCGGAAAAGATGCAGTCGACACTGAAATGGCCCTCAGTTGGATTGTGTTTCTTCTGTTAGAGAGCGGCAGTGTTGCACTTGGAAGCTTGCACAACTACAATGTGTCACAAAGATGTATGAGGGATTTCAACACGTTCCTTTGGGATTTAAACCAGGACGAGCCAAAGGACTACGCTGCCGTCAGTAAGTGCTGACGCCTTCCTGTTATTTTCTTTGCTGTGTGTCTGGCGCAGTGACATTTTTGTCAGATTTAGATAACGAGAGTGAGACTTGCCCACCGTAAAACCATTAAGACCTTGGTTCAATTCCTGCCAACTGCAAATGTGATGTAATATGCATTGTCGTTTTTTTAAATAAGTAAATTTAAATGCAAAATGTTCACTCATCCAAACATTTAAATGTCAGCCATTATTGATATAGTTACATAGATTGGTGAAATGCTAAAATGCCCTGGTAGGAGTTTTTTTGATATTTGCTCATTTGCATCCTTTAGTTAAAGCCCTAGTTTACAGATGAGTTGCAAAGAATCAAAAACCCTTTCCTGACTGTACAAAAGTATAAGTTGGGAAAAGAGTATATAAAATTCCACAACAGAAAAAGTTTATTTATTTCAGTAACTCAATTCACTTAGTGAATCACTTATACAGATTAATTACACCCAGACCAATGTTTTCAAAGCTTAATGACTGTTAAATATGAGTATTCTCTGCTTACAGCTTATGAAAACATAACATTTATGATTACACTATTACAGCACACCAATATATACAGCTGTTTTGTGACTGAACATCAGTGGTTGTTTCCCTCCTTTTTTAAAGTGTATGATTCCTTTGGAAAGATGGGCAGCAGTGTTAAAGAAGGTAATGTGAACCAGCCCGGTTCAGTGCAGCAGTGTCGCTCTGCCATCGGCCCTGGCTTCTCTGCACAGTACTGCCAGGTGTTCCTGAAGCAGGTGAATAATATAAAAGACCTTGATGGTGGATGGATATGAAACTAGAGAAGAAAACTGTATTTTCTCCTTCTTCTGCAGGGAGCAATCCAGTATTTTGTGGGTATTTGTGTCCCTGACTCCTGCAGGGAAGTAGATGTCAAACAACTGGTACTGTGTGGTGAGAAACTCTTAAAACAGATTTTGTGTAGATCTTTTTCTCTGGTTTTTTGGTTATTTTTCTATTATTGTCTCACATAAGGCTTATTTTTCAAACAGACAGACTTCAGTTCAACCAAAAGTCCCTCCTTAGTCTATTACCCCCCAATCTGATCAATCAGTCTTCTCAGGAAATTATCATGACTCACTGTTTGGTTGACACAGTTGCTCCTGATGCATCAGACGTTGCCTGCATGTCAGTATATGAGTCATCTCTTTTCACCCCCAGTAAACGACATGCTTGTTTTTTAACTGCCTTGATTTAAACTTGGTTCCTTTTCCTCCTTAGGTGTGTGTGTTGTGTAATGTTAGCCATTCCTCTTGCGGCTACCCTCTTCACAGCCTTAAGAAGGTCAGAGCAGAGCAGCACGGTCAGTCTCACAGCAGAGTCTTGCCATTTAAACGTTTATGGCACCCTGAAAAGCAATGGCTTGTCCAGCAGCGAAATAAATGGCAGAACATTAGAGGAAAATGGTAAGGTGCATTTGCATCTGATCTGTTTATATTTAGACAATGGTTTTACTCAGTAGCTTCTTTTTGCAGGCAGAAACGGCCCTGCTGGACAGTGTATTTCTCAAAGCTGTTTTTCCAGTTGCTTGCAAGCATTCTCCTTGCAGACAACAAGCAAGGGAGTCTTCAGCGCCCCCTTCTCTGTCCAGTGCGAAAACTATGCCTCTCTGAACGGCATACGTGTTCTCAGTTTGCTTTGGATTATATGTGGCCACGCCGTACAGTTCCCAGTAATTAACAACCTGGGTATGAAGGAAAATAGTTAACTAAGTCTTACTTTCGTCCAAATACTTTATTCACAATGCCATGTCTCTGTTGTAGATAACTACAAAACATGGAGGAGAGCAGTTGAAAGCAGCCCAATATATGTGTTCACCATCAGTGGGCCTGTTTTTCTGGCTGTTGATACCTTCTTATTGCTGGGGTGAGTCTATTCAAAAATTCTTGAACATATTTTTGTGCATAAAATGATTTTCTGTACATTGTTGCTGTTTCAGGGGTTTGCTTAGTGCCAGGTCCTTGCTGAGCTCCGTTGACAAGGCAGAAGACCATCTGAGTCTGGGTTTGGTTGCGAACTATCTCTTCAAGAGGATTAAAAGGCATGATCTTAAAACTAGATAACTAAATTACAGTGCCTTGCAAACGAATTCCTACCCCTTAAACATTTTTTTTTAAATTTCGTCTTTGGAATTTTATGTGAGAAACCAACAACAACAACATAATTTTGGAGAAAAAAACACATGGCTTGCTGATGGGCTGCATGGCGCAGTTGGTAGCACTGTTGCCTTGCAGGAAGAAGGTCCTGGGTTCAACTTCCAGCAGGGGGTCTTTCTGCATGGAGTTTGCATGTTCTCCCTGTGCATGCATCGGTTCTCTACGGGTACTCCGGCTTCCTCCCACACTCCGAAGACATGCCTGTTAGGTTAATTGGTCTCTCTGAATTGCCTTAGGTGTATGAATGGGTGTGTGCTTGGTTGTTTGTGTGTTGCCCTGCGATGGATTGACGACCTGTCCAGGGCCTCCTGCCCACAGACTGTTGGAGATAGGCACCAGCTTCCCCGCGACCCACTATGGAAGAAGCGGAATAGAAAATGACTCACTGACTTCAGATCTTCTTGGGTATGTTATTACCAGCTTCACACATCTAGCGACTGAAAGTTTTGCAGATTCTTGTTTGCAAAATACTTTGTGTTGGTCTATCACATAAAATGCCAGTAAATAAATTCAATTGCTGACAAAATGTAAACAAGTTTAAGGGGTGAAAGGCACTATAATCCAGGACATGTATTTGTACAGTAAATCTAAAATTAGGACAGGTTTTACTGAGAATTAAAAGGTTACATTTCTCTCCTTGTCTTGCTGCTCCAGGATTCAGCCTCTGCACCTGTTTACAATGTGTTTCACTATCAGCCTCATCTCTTTGGTCCAGGGGGGACCCTACTGGTTCCCATTTGTAGAAACGTTGATGGATTGTAAAGCATACTGGTGGGCTAACTTACTACTGATCAGCAATCTCCTACCAGTCCACGAGATTGTAAGTTTCAGCAGATTTCATATCTCCTCATGCAGCATTTCAGCTCATATTTGCCTATTCCTTCACCTTTTTCTCTAAATCTCTCCTCAGTGCATTCCCTGGACGTGGTACCTGTCTCTAGACTACCAGTGTTACGCCACTACCCCTCTGTTGGTCTATATTTATAAGCTGTAAGTCCACATCATTTAACATCATCCCATGCACCACATAAAGTAGAGTAATAACCTTTTCCATTCTGTCTCCTGTTTTCAGTAAAAAGAGTGTGTTTGCCGTTGTGGTAGGAGGCCTTTTAGTGATTACTACTGTGACCAGTGCTGCTATAACTGCACGCCTGCACCTCCCAGTCTTTCATCCATCTACAATGTAAGCCTCCTCCATAATAAACCTGAATGAAGAGCTTCAGTAAATAACAGAAAATGTAACTCGTCTTTTAAGAGCCACATGTTTATCTTGAAGTGTTTGTCTTTGCAGAACATCAGACAACTATGTTTTGTATTACTATGTGAAACCCTACACAAGATACGGACCATTTCTCATAGGGATCCTAACAGGAATATACCTGACAACAAAGAAAGATCAGCTTTTAAAAGAAAAGGTGAGATGATCTGATCATCCATCCTGGCCATAATATTCTATATTGTGTTGTTGCAAGATTTGAGAACGCTTCATAAATTAAGTCGAATTTAAATAAAAAACAGGGTGTTTTTCACTTTTTTTCTAGTGGTTTCTCAATGTGACCTTTATCTGAAGAGGGCAAGATTCTCCTTTTTTACAGAGAAATATTTAACTATTTGCTGCTGTGCACACCACTGCAGTTTAGTGCTCTCCTGTTAGTTGACCATGGAAAAAAACTGTCTAATTCCTGTTGCATGTAATTTTCTGGGCCATTTCTGTTCAGAAATATAACAGAATTACAAAGTTTCAAGTGCAACTGATACTTTTTAACTGAAAACTTGCCTTCATATTTCTGTGCTTATTCTTTTTATTCAGTGGCAAGCAGCGCTTGGGTGGTTCTGCTGTCTTTCCCTGATGGTTTTGCTTATTGGACTGGCCTACCTCCTGAAAGAAACTCCAGCCCACCTATCTGTGGCCCATGCTCTCTATCAGGGGATGCACAGACCACTCTGGGCTCTGACTGTGAGTTGGATCATACTGGCCTGTGAGGAGGGCTTTGGAGGTTTGAACAAATCAAATTAGATCTTCAATATGGCAGAACACTGATTTTAAAAAGTGTGTGTATTTGATTATTCTTCTTTGTTATTTGGTTACTTTTACAAAGAACTGAAGCACTGATATTAGGTTCTGTCTGTTTTTTAACTGTAACACACAGCAACAGTATAGGAAAGGAAAGAGCTGCAGGTTCTATAACTGTCCCTCTATACCAGTTTGTGTGTGTGTAAATGGTAAATAGACTGAACTTATATAGCGCTTTTCCAGTCATACAGACCACTCAAAGCACTTTACACTAGAGCCACATTCACCCAATCGCACTCTCTAACGCTCACACATTCATACACTGATACGCAGATCGGTAGGCAACTTGAGGTTAAGAGCCTTGCCCAGGGGTACATCAACATATGGCAGGAGGAAGCTCGAATCAATTCCACAACCTTCTGATTGCAAGACATCTACTCTTCCTACCGAGCCACAGTCGCCTGTGTGTGTGTCTGTGTGTGTGTGTGTTTCTCCAGGTTTTATCAAGACATTCCTGTCATTTGGTTTCTGGGTTCCTCTTTCCAACATTAGCTTTGCCTGCTATCTTATACATCCCATCTTCATCATCCTCTACAATGGCTTGCAAGAAACGCCGATGCACTACACAGACATCAACTTTGTGAGGATTTCATCTTAATCATTCAATAACAAACCAACATTCTTTTATTTCTGTTTTCGTCTCATCTTTGCACCACTGGGTGTCTGTCCTTTTCAGATGTACCTGTTCCTCGGCCATCTGGTACTAACTCTGGTGGTCAGCAGTGCTCTCACTGTGTTGATAGAGAAGCCCTACCTCCACCTGAAACTCAGAAGCATCTAGGAAAAGTGCCATGTATAATACAGTGCCCTTCACATATATTGGCATCCCTGGTAAAGATTTGTAAAAAAAAACTTCAAGTAAATTAATCTTTTCTTGCAGTAGTGTAACCTCACACTGAAAAGAATGCTGCAGTCCTCTAACAAAAAGCTTTGGAGATGTTCCCTCACCATACGTTTTACTATGCTTGGTGACAAGATATACTTGGCTCCTCCTTGATTGTAAACTTCTTTTAAACTTCATTGTCCTGAGTGTAGATATGGACATGTTTAGGTTAGTAGCTGTTTTGTTGTTGTCATTTAATTTCTTATGAATAGCAAAACAGCGTCTGCATGGCATGTTTTTCAATTTTTCCCATTTTGAAGAGTGGGTAAGTGTCATGCTCTGCCATTTTGGAGTTGTGTGTTTTATTTTTTGTTCTCTTTAGATCTGTGTTCTCTAGGTTTTTGTCATTTAGTATTGTTTTCTCATGTTTGTTTTCTCCATCTGCAGTCTAGCTTCCTTTGTTGTAATCTGTCACCTTCCCTCAGTTTTCCTCTGCAACCCAGTTCCACACCTGTTGTCATTTTCTTCAGATTACCTATCAGCCATTTTCATTGGTTCACACTCCTCTTCCCTCAGTATATATATTTGGTTATTTTCATTGTTCCTCGCTTGGTCCTCCTGTTTACTTCCATGCCGATTCATGTGCCATGTCATTGTTTGAACCTTTGGAAACTCGTGTAAGTTGACCTATTTTGTTATTAATTATGTAGTGCAAAAACAAAAACCAAAGAGCAAAGTGTACCAGAGTCAAATTCCTTGTTTGTATGTACAAACTTGGCAATAAAGCTGATTCTGATTCTGATTCTGATTCTGATTAAAGTCTAAAGATTCTCATACCTGCAATGCTGCTGCCAAGCGTTTTTCTACACTCCGGTTCCATTCAACCTCACATTATGACAGTAAGAGAAGTTGGATCTGTGTCCCATCATGTTAATACCCCAGAGAAGCAAAACATCATAGATTAAATGTTCCTTGACAGTGTAATCAACATAAAGTATACATTGAAAATGCTTCAGCTGCATTGAACGTATAGGTATTGTTAGATGTGCCGGTAAACTTGGTGCTGACTTTTATCAAAAGAAAACAATTACAGTTATGTGAAAAACGTCAAAAGATCCCGTCAAATCATTTTTTCTAACATATTTGGACATATGGATATTTAACATCAATTTGAACAATACTGAGAGATTCAAATAAAAGATGGAAGAAAACAAATATTCTGTAAAATAAAACTAAAAATGACATTTCTGGTGAGCAGTAACATCCTCACAATTAGGACATTCCCACTAAAAATGGTTGAAATTATGCCTCAGATACACATCATTAGAACATTATTAGTCAGCATTTTAAAGGAGGTTTGCCATGTTTGAGCCTTGAATATTTTGTTTGATGTGTGCCCTTGTCAGAGACTGGCACAAGAAGCCTCTCACTGATGACATTTCAACCATTCTTCAAAAAGCTAATTTTTCTGGCTATTCCTTGTTTATAAACAATGTTATTATTAGTGTAACTAGAGCACTTTCTTGTTCAGAAATTTAAGAAATGATTAGACATCTATATATGGAAGTTTCTTTTATAATTAACTTAATAATTATTGGGGTGTCCTAATTTTTCCCATGACTGCACATTTCCCAACTGGATAAAGGTGCTCAATTACCATCATTACCTTTATTCAAATCAACTTTTTATGATGCCTGTTTAATTGACCGACTTATAGATTTTTTGTAAATAAAACCCTAAAATTACTTATTGCATCCCAACAGCTCTATGGATTGTTTGCCTTTCACTGTTGTTGTTTTTTTTACAGTATTTATTTTTGTCACTTTAATTTGCATTATTCCCCCACTCTTTTTTTCCACACCTCATTTGATTTCCTGTGACATTACATAGTAATGTAATCTGTAGACTTCAGTCAAAAATAAATGAGCTAAAATTACAGCAATTAAGATGCCACTTATTTAATTTGGCTGCCTTTTCTGTGTCTGACTCATTTTTATTTCACCCCTTACCATCTTTAGGTGTCCAAGAACACAAACGACTTCATTGCACTTCTTCTACAAGTAGGTCAGAACCACAAAACAGACAATGACTCAACTGAAGAGAGAATAACAAAAGATTTTCGTTACAAGTGACGTCAAACACATACACGTTTGTAGGCTTGCTTCTCAGTGAAAGTGCACGTGGAGCCGGGGCCTGGTTGTGCATTGCACAGGGCTGC